TTTTGACTTGGGATGGGTTTAGGTGGGTTGGGTGTTTCCGAGGGGGTTGGGGTGGGGGATGGGCGGTAGGGGTTGAAATAAATAAGAAAACAAAAAAAAATTGAACTGGGAACCGGACCGGCCCAGAACCGGTAGAACCCAAGCCGGTTCCGGGCCTTAACCCAAAATGTTCCAGGCCCGGCTGGGCCTAGGCCCGAGCCGGAACCGGACCAAGCCCGGTCCACCACTAATTCTTGTGTAAGGACTACTTTTAAGAGTGTTTTGTTCGGCTAATCTTTTGGGTACACCTATTTTGCAAATTAAGGTGTTTACTTATATTATTCCTTGTTTGGTATATTTTACTTATTGGTTCTTGAATTGAAAGTATATGTCCATTTTACATGTGTGATATATGAATCAATTGCTTAATAGACAACATGACCTAAAGTGATGAACCAGGCCACTTCACTCTTTATGGGCTGAAATTTTTACCGATCTCTTGCTTTAGTATCTTTCTTTAGACTGGGCTCTTGAATAATGATTCCAGGTATATGATCCATATCTAACAATAATTCCCATTACAGTATTACATCCTTAGGATGTTTTTACTTGGACTGTAATTTGTCCCAGACCAGACCAGTTCAGACCAGACTTGGATAATTATAAAAATACAAAGAGCCCATATATTATCAGATCAGACTAGACCAGCAAATTACAGTCCAACTAAAAACATCCTTATTATGTAACCTGACACTCTTATAGTTTGACACAGCCTCAGTCTCGGCATATCAACACGGTGATGCAACAAAACATTAGTTTCCGTCTTCATTCTTCAATTTTGACTGTTCTCTTTTTAGTTGATCAATTTCATCTTACTTCTACTTCACTTTACTGACAAATTGTTGTGTACCTATCAAGATGTAATGTGTATATTAAATAAACACTATTAAACCGTTAAAACTTTTTTTAAAAGATAGAGCTGAAAAATCAATCCAGTCGATTATAAATAAAAATATACAAGAACAATAATGTGAACAAATTAAACAAATACATATCTAAAATGTGGAACTATGATATGGGGAGAAAAGCTAAAGTTCTCATAAACTCGTCTACTGAATCTTGCATTGATTTTACTCATTTAAGGGGCGCATTTTCCATTCAAAGAGGCTCAAGAAGTGAATTTTCGAATGACAAAAACAGATCTTCTCAATCGGTTAAAAGGATCTGTCGACCAACTATTTAAATTGAAATGTATAAAACCACTGGTGCTATTAAGGGTTCGTCTTTCACTTAGAAAGAATGACTAACAAAGTGTGTTGTTCTATAGGAAAATGGAGGGGAAAAACATAGCAATTTTAACATAGATGGATTTGAAAAAGTTAGATAGGTTGATTCGTGTAATTTTTTTTAAAAAATATTCTTTATACCGGCTCATTCTGGTCTAGTGTCCCGGCTTCGCCCCTGACCAAAACCCCCTAAAAAGTGAAATACAATTGTTCTCTTCGAGTTATCATCTTTTGAAAGAGATCTATTATAATTTCATTTGTGAGAGTTTCAAATAGATCAGATCTCTTTCTATAAAGCAAACAAGACAGTCGCTAAGAAACCCGATCACCGATTCTATTATCAAAATTAGTCTTCACTATTTTCATAGAACAACAGTTGTTGTGGAAACCAGCTAAGTTGAATCTATCTTTAAGATTCTATATTGGTCAAACCATTTGCAATTAAACCATCTCAAAGTCATGACCACATGGTTGGCATGAATCTTCCATCAAATATTTTCTCTGAGTTTCATTCCTTTGATTTGGATGATATTCAAAGATTTATCTTCTTTTAGCAGGGTCCGAAGGAAGCTCATTCAAATTAATTTTTTCATGAATTGAAATTGCACATTGAGAAATACTACTACCCACATTTGAATTTGAATTTTCCAGTGTTGAGGAGGTTGTTTTATTCAAAAACCTATTCATAAAATCTGATGAAAAGGTGTAATTAATTATTTAATAACCAATGTACTCTTTTGTTTCTTTATATATCTCAAACCTTCTCCTAGCTAGAGCGGTAACTATGTAAAAATTATACTCCCTCTATCCCAATATAAAAGGCACACTTTCCTTTTCGGTCCGTCCCAATATAAAAGGCACATTTCCCTTTTTGGCAAACAAAACAGTGCAAAACAGTGCCAAACAGTGTCCAAAGTCCAAACAGTGTCAAACAGTGTCTAAACAGTGTCAAACAGTGTTCAAACAGTGTTCACCCTTAAAATGTCTAGAAACGCAAATGTGCCTTTTATATTGGGACGGAGGGAGTATTTGATATGGCTTTCTAATTTCTTAAATCCTCATACTTTTTATAGATTGTAGCAAATTTTAGATTTTTAAGTTTAACAAATTAACTATTTTTACACAAATAATTACACAATAACACTCTAATATATACAAATAATACAATAATCAATAGGGTTTTTTTTTCAAAAATATTACCAAAATAAAACTAGTTTGCAAAAATGTGACTAATAGTTACTACAATGTAGGATCATAGTAACTATGGCTCAAAAATTATATACTTCCTCCATTCTTAAATAAGTGCAACAGTCAACATTTCACACTTGTCGAGACACAACTTTGACCATTAAAATTTATAATTCTCTTAGTAAAAAATTTAAAAAAACAGATTTTGAAAATATACAACGAGACAAATTTAATAATATTTTCAACAAAAAAATATATTAATACATCAATAAATAAAATGTAATCAAAGTAGAACATGTGAATAGTGTAAAATTTAGCATGTTACACTTATTTAAGAACGGAGGTAGTATAAGTTACCATGATTACATTACTACTCTAATCACTAATCACATTTTTATAAACAATCTTCATTTTAGTCGTATATATGTAATTATTTCTAATCAATATTCAAATTACTCAAATAGTTAATTAACACATACAAATTATCCGTATTTCTGCTTTATCTTCATTCTAACTATAAGGATATAGTACGTAATGTTTTTTAGGGGCATGATGCTGAAGTATATGTAGGGATGCACTCGGGCCGGGCGGCCCGGCCCGGCCCGGAACCGGCCCGGACCGGTTACTGTTTGAACCGGTCCGGGAGGCGGTTCGGGTCGGCCCGGCCCGGTTACTGTGTGGTTCGGGCCCGGGCCCTTTGATTGGCGAACCGGCCCGGCCGGTTCGGGGCCGGTTCGGGGCCGGTTCGGGCCAAATTATTATTTTTTTTTGAATTTTTTTTAAGTTTTTGGGTTGGGCTTGGTATTTTGGGCCATTTGAGGTGGTTTGGGGTGGTTTGGGGGTGAGGGGGAGGGTTGGGGGTTAATTAGGAAAAGCCAAAAAAAAAAATAGAACCGAGGCCCGGCCCGGACCCGGAATTACCCGGGCCGGTTCCGGGCCTCCCATTTCTGAACCGAGGCCCGACCGGGCCCGAACCGGAACCGGTCCACCCATAAGTATATGGAGCATACTCCGTACTACATATTAATTTACTTTGGGCTGCCTAGAGTTGGGGGCATTTAGTTTTTTCTATTGGGGGCAAATACATGGACTCTAATTTTTGGGGGCAGCTGCCCCCCCTACTGAAGGTGTGGATCCGTCCCTGCTTTAATAATTTGAATGATACCATTATGGGCCTAAATTCTAGATCCATTAATGGTAAACTCCTTTCCGGAAAGATTTATGAGTTGTTGAGAACTAAAAGGACGCCACGAGTATGGATGAGCTTCATATGGAAGTCTTATATCCCCCCAAAGTTCTCATTCAACGTTTGGCTTGCTTTGAGGAACCGGTTACCTACACAGGATAACTTAGGTTACCTACATATTGTTAATCGTTGTGACCTTTGCAAGGGTGGATTGGAAACAATTCCACACCTATTTTTTCGTTGTCATTACACTTGTAGGGTCTGGGAAAAAATAAAGGAATGGTTAGGCATGACACGAGAGATGACCACGCTTAGCAGCTCGATCAAATGGATCCTGAAGGAACACAAAGGATCAAAGATCAAAAGGAAGGTTGTCCGGATTGCTTTTTGTGCCGCGGTTTACTACCTTTGGCACGCTAGGAATGCCAATCAATTTGATGAACAGGACGTCAAGGAAGAGGAGATCATCTCAAAAGTCAAGCATGTGGTGTATAAAATACTTTTCAATATATACCCGCATGACTTGATTACATTTTGAGTAGACTGTGGCATGAAGCATGGCCTTGGATTTAAAAGTGTGTGCATTTTGCAACACCTTTGTACTTTATTTAGAATTTTAGTCTGAACTGTGTGCGTGCATGTGCTGCACCGATGTATGTTTGAACCTCTTGATGGGCCAAGTATAATACTTGGTTATTTTGGCATAGATTAGATCGAATAAAAACCTCCTTTCACCCTCATATTATGTAAGGGTCGCGGAGGTTTTAAGAGATCTAGGATATGTGATGTATAGTTTTCTGGGTGTTAATATATATTTACATAATTACATTTCATCCAAAAAAAATGACATTACATTACATGACATTAAACAGAATGCATGAAGCTTGGTTTCTCCCAGTTATGGAAACATCATTCGTTGTCATAGCATTCCTTTAACGTGCATTCCTTTCATCCCGTGTATACTATAATTTAGTAATATAGTCTAAGTCTTGAACTTGATTAAATAATTATATCCTTTGGTTTTCAGATAAAAGAATATAGACATGCCAGTTAAGACTGAAGATAATTCGAAACCTAAATAATTTAGACGGAATATTTAGGTGGGGGGGGGGCTGGCATTACGTGCATTGCAAATATTTCGTGCACTTTATTAAGAGAAAGAAGTCCACTTTTTTCTAAAAGAACCTGTATATGCACTGTACGGATATGTAATTTTACTCCTTGAACTAAACTTTTAGTTATATCCCTTTGTTCTCACTGAAGGGCGAACTAAAAATGAAGATTTTTTCACTTCTTGCAATCATGATACTCATATTATATCTCTGAAAGAAAGCAGTGACAGTTTAGGCAGAGGCAAATGGCAAACAAACACTTTTAGGCAAGCAAACACTAGATATGATCACTTTCTCCAACTAAAAATTTGCAATGTGTTATTAGGCCTGGACTCGGGCCGGGCGGCCCGACCCGGAACCGGCCCGGCCCGGCCACTGTAGCAACCGGCCCGGCCCGGTGGCCCGGTGGCCCGGTCCACCGGCGGTTCGGGTCGAACCGGCCCGGTGGTTCCCGGTTCCGGGCCCGGGCCTTCCAAATGGTGAACCGGCCCGGCCGGTTCGGGCCCGGTCCGGGCCGGATTTTAATTTTTTTTTTTTTTGAAATTTTTTTAAAGTTTTGGGTTGGAATAGGTATTTTGGGCCATTTCAGGTAGTTTGGGGTGGTTTGGGGTGGTTTGGGGTTGAGGGGGAGGGGTAGGGGATTAAATAGGAGAACAAAAAAAAAAAATTAAGTGGGCCGGTTCGGCCCGGCCCGGTTTGGCCCGGGACCGGGACCGGAACCGGCCACCGGCGGTTCGGGCCCGGGCCTCCCATTTCCTGGCCCGAGGCCCGGCCGGGCCCAGGCCCGAACCGGGCCCGAACCGGCCCGAGTCCAGGCCTGTGTGTTATACTAAAAATTGCATTTTTCACTACTTATAATCTTAGTGTTCCCAAAGACCCAAACCATAGCTAAAGAAGAAAGAAAAGTTGCATTTTGGCATGAGAGCCACATGTTGGGGTCATGGGTGTTCATTATTAGGGACAAAAGTTGTTGTCTCGTGGTCAGTTTTCCATGTGGGTATGAACCGTTTGAATATGGCGCTGGTGCATGCTTATGTCTTTTACAATAATCACAAATGCTAAACATATCCCCACAATGTGCTTCTCTCTGTATCTACCATAAAACTAATACTTCATTTGCTTACAAAAACAAAACTTGAAGCTTCCTTAACTTAGCAAAGGAATCGAGAACTGAATTTGAAAACAAAGAAGCTGCCTGGTACAAAGCATTGATTCCAGCCTGAATATGAAAACTAACTTTATGTTGTTCAAGTACACATAACTAAATTATCTCACCCAATTTTCAGAGGCAATAAAAATATCCACATATATAGAGGTGAAAATGATGCAAACTGCAGTCCTATTAGTAAGATGTATATAGAAAATATAGAAATAGTAAGAATCACAAAACCAATGTTTGCTTTGCTTGAATATGCAAAAATTGAAGCTTTCTTAACTTAGCAAAGGAATTGAGAGATGGATTTGGAACAAAGAAGCTGCCTGGTACACATAATTGATTCCAGTAACCAATTTCTTCTCTGGCGCCGGCGGATATTGTAGCGTGATGTTCCATTCCGGCAAGGAGCTGCTTGATGGCCATGGAAAAGAGATGGAAAACCTGTTTGTCGAACATGGAAAGAGATGGAAAACCTGCTTGAAAAAGAGATGGAAAGATAGAAAGAGGGAAGAGAATCAAAGGCAATAGATCAGTGATACAAAGTAAAAGAAAAGAAATGGAAGTAGGGTGCAGATCATTTTAAAATGAACGGTCCAGATCAATTTGTACTCCTATTAAGTATAGAGGATGTTAACATCAATAGTGAACTATCATGTCTTAAGATTCCATGCCATCATAGGATTTCCATAACCATGGTGATTAACTCAATCTATACAAAAAAAGCCACAGATATACAAAGGTAAATCTATACGAAGCTAGAATGCATTACTCAGTGACTGAAGCGTTGATCTTCATCTTGAAACTCAATCGCAGCAAAAATCACAAGAGTCCCCTGGGAAGTTCCAACGCAAACAAATATCAATTTTCTTTTCCATCTGTTCCAGCCACCTCTGAAAGGTCAAAACACCCATATGCAAGGTCCTCATATCAATTTGTGCAATTTGTGCACATGAGCGAAGTATGATATAATAATCAGCATGAACAGCATATATCAAGGCACCATCTTTCCTTCTAGCATATCGAATGTAACCATGGTTCTTCAAGGTGGATTTAATGGGTGGAAGATAAGAAAACCGATTTTCCTCCATATTTGATTTCATTTGCCGTACCGCCCAATCCTTATATGAGTTCATAGAACTTGCATGTACTGGTGATTCAGAATCATCCAATGGACACTTTGAACAATTACCCATTGTGCTGAAATCGCCTCCACTCTCCCTGATTTCCTCACTCTTTTTATGGTCATCTGATGGTTCAGCATCCTTACTCGTTTCATAGAGGTCCCATAGTTCATCTATCAGACTTTCTTCTTCATGGTCCTCCAATGACGAATTTAATCCAGCAAAAACCACATCTTTACAGTGTTGAAGATATGTAGGCAGATCTAGTGCATAATCATGAATATGCTTGTGCTCCGAATATTTTGTTTCAAGAATCTGAAGCAGTTTGGAACCATCAAAATTGACTTCCTCCTCAGCTAAATCACTCTTTTCATCCATAGATTGATCATCGGGTCCAGATAACATCATTTCCCATTTCCCCCCATTTATGTCATATATAATCCTCATTGTTACGATAATTATTGACATAACATAAACGCGGGATGGAAGGCTGCATTCATTGTCCGACAAGTAAAGCTGTGGAGGCATAGACCACTCATGTACACGGCATGCATGAGGAAGAATACATTCAACTGGAAGAGATAACTCTATCAGATAACGGGAAGCTAGAGCATAGAAATTCACAGGTGGTAGTTCTAAACCTATTCTCCGGGCAATTGAAGCAGCAAATGACTCTAGCTTGTGTGTGGAGATAACCTCAATAGGTCGGAACATACGACTAGAACTTAATGGACATTCCCTTGACGGAGGTCCAAGTTGCTTCTCAATTTCAACAAAAGCAGCCAAATATGGAAGTTTTCCTTCAAGAACCCAATTCACAATGTCCGTTGGCAGGATTGCCTCCCTGGCTAAATGACAAACAAGATATGATATGGCCAGAGAACTAGATAATGGGATCTTACTTCTCAGAGATTCATACCACAATGGTATTAACCGTTTACCAAGAAGGTTGTGAGGTTCTCCTTTGCGCCTAACATGAATCTTGAACTCGCCAAGTTCCCCAGGTTGGGATTCTGATTCATTAATAACATTGTCTCCCCAATCATCAGCCATTATCCTTTCATGAGCAACATATCTCAGCCAAATAGGTCTAATGAGTCCAATAATTAAAGGGCTGACGTTAAATTTCTCCACCAAAGCCTTACACTGCAACTGGATCATGATTTGAACGCCCATAATATACTTCAGCCTGATATTTGAATAATAGAAGTCTGGAGAAGTGAAAGTATCGGGCAAGGAACCAGTGTCATTTATAGGGTCAGTAGGGACAACACCATTGACCACACAATCATTCTCTAGATATTGGCACTGTGAATCCATGAATTGAGATGGTGGCTGACTTGCCACTTGTCTAGGACGAGCCCGTGTCTGAGACGCAGAATAGATCCCACCCTCGAAACCGGTGTCAGCTTCTTCAACAGCAGTATCCATGACATCATCTGCACGACAGCCACAGAGGGTGCAATAAAAGAATCCATCATCGCCATCCTTTAACCCCATATTTCCACACATGTCACACAATCTCTCCATTCTCTCAGACGTTCTTTCCTATGGTGTGCGTATTTTCAACTAATATAACCAAATAATCGCCAATGGCGGTCTTGGCTCTCTGCCGATATTATTCTGACCGTCTGTATAGCTGCATTATATGGGCCACGTTAAAAAATATGTACAGGGGATTACTATTAAAAATAACTCTGGCACTATAGTCCAAGAATACAATGAAATCACAAGCCTAGCTAACACAAGGCGTTCCAAAACTTTGTATACCGTGGGCCAGTTACATTATTTCAGCCTCCTGACAAATTAAATTAATTGATAGCAGTTAGCAAATATTATATAATGAACAATTTTTCTTATGAAAATCAAATAAATAAATGGGAAGTATCAGTCACCATGTTGATCTAAAAAGTCCGTCTTTATTAATCTATCTTTTGAAGAATTCAATATGCTATCTGCCTATCTGATATTCTGATGGATTTTATTAAAAAATAATTAGTAAGTTATCAATGTTCCAGAAGAGTAACAATAGTCTCGCTACTTACATAATTATATGCACAAAGTTACCATATACTCCATATACTTTATTATATTGTAGTTCAAATACAATTTTCGTCCTCTGCACTATCTAAAACGTGAAGACAATAGTGGGCCCAACAATTATAATTTGACTACCAAAAAGGAAATTTAAAACGAAGTTGGCAAATACCTCAAAAAACGTGGATAGGGCAGTTATATAACACGACATACGCTATAGATAATGTTGTATAGTTTAGATACCCACTAACCAGGCAACCAGCCGTTCAGATAGGCTCACCGGTTAAGATAACCTGTCTACAACAACCCTCTATAAATTGCATTTAATGAATGAAACCACGTGTTTGAAAAGTGCATTTTCTCTCAATTTTCATATCGAAATATTGGATACTTAGGAGGCCATTTTACATCTTTTTTTAGCAGAAGTACAGTCCAAGACTCCAAGCAACAGAGCTTATACGTAAATAATACTCTGTAATATCTTCATAACAGGAAATATGTAGTACGTAGTATATCTTTAATATTGCGTAACTTCTCAAATTTTCACTCAGCATAAGTTTGTCAAGTACAAAATGTAAATTGAATATATTTACGTACTACAGAGCTTATCCATAAATATTTCCAGTGAAGCCTTGATACTTTTTAACTTTAAATATCCAAACTGTCATTAAATTGAAATTCAAAACCATAATTTAATTGAACTTTACAAGCCTATATTTCAGTTGAAATTCTTGAATGAAAAGCTTAAGAAAACAAGTGAACATCTATTTAATTTTCTTTGAAAATATATTTCAATTCAACTTTGCATGCCAAAACTGAATTTAAATAAAGCTTTTGTTTCAAAAGAACTTTCACATGCCAGAGGTTCTTAAATATTAACTAAATAGCCAATATAGTGAAATAGAGATTTTATAATTGTCTACTTACCTATAAACAGTTATTCTGCTGATTTTTCCACATTTGCCCCTCTTTTTGTAATTTCTTCAGTCACCATGTAACACCTGGACAATAAACATAGAATGCATCAATAAAATTTATTCTAATAAAGGTATCATGAGATATATTTAGTCTAAGAAAACATTAAAATGGTCATATATCTTCACGCATTATTTACAATGAATTATACACAAACATACACACATTTGGTTAGGCACATTATTTAAGAAGTAAAGTAGTAGCGGTAGAAAAAGTAGGAAAGAGTGTGTAAATGTATGGAAGAGAAGATAAAAGGTAGATAAAGTAAGGGTAGTTGAGTATTTTAAAAAGAGTAAACTTACCAAAAATGGAAGTGTAGCAAACTTTTAAATACATCCCAAAAAGGAAAGTGTAGCAAACATTAAAATACGGAGGGAGTATATATAAACATTGACACCATATACTTATAAGAGAAAAAACGTATATACTCCGTATAACAATTAGGCTGATGTGAAAAAATAAGCACAAATCAAACACAACTTCAAGAAAACATCTAAGCTTTCAAAAACAAAGAAACTATTGACATATTAAGTTCTTACAATTTTTGTACTTCGTGTAGCAATTTGTTTAGAAGAAAAATACATTCAAGGAAGACATGTTCAACTAAGTTCAGCATATTGGCTTTTTTGGGCCATAGAACATCCTACTTTTTAGTATTAAAAGTATACATGTACATGTGTTCATATACAAACGAAGTAATTTGTTTTTGTTAATATTTTGAAACATCTTAGATAACTGCATCTACTTTTGCACATAAACATGCAAGAATAGTGGAAATAAACTTATCCGTTTTTAAACCAACTTCATGGTTCATATGCTAACCATGTTACCATGACAATATTATGTTTAAATTTGAAAGATGGACATCATACGACATGAATATAAAGCCCTAAATTCACACTGAAAGTATGAAGAATAAAACGAGTAAGGCTTGAAGGAGTTAAAGACTTCAAGAGTTAAAGAATACTAATTTATAGCAAGGGTTTGAAAGGCGAAATCGAGCCCCGAGACGTTCGGTGGTAGCCTTGTGAGGCGTAAGGCTCTAGGCGTAACGAGGCATAAGCCTCGAAATTAATTGCTTAAATATTAAACAATATCACAGCTAAACAAAATCACAAGTAAAAATTACATAACACTAAAATATCCAGGTCAAAATAACATAAAACTCGAATAACATATAACAAATAAATTACTAAGCTAAATGATAGTTTTGTATGACAACTCATCAAGATTAAACGGTAGGCTTGATAAATACAATAATAAAGTTAAATGACAAACTAACAAAGATCAGGAAGTGCATTATAGGAGTACTATTTAATACTAACTTGAAATAGTTCAAAACAGAACTTTAAATACGTAAAAAAGTTAAATAAAAAAACTTGAATATGAACGCAATAACAAATTAAGAAGTTAGGCGGTGGGAATGTGATGTTCGAAGCAGTGAAGCACCTCAGTACGGATTCGACTGATACAGTAAGCTGAACAGCACTCCTGGAAGTCGTTTGTTGATATCGGAAGACCAACGATTGCCGATTGGAAGACCAGCGGATATGGCTAAGTTGATATCCAGCCTTGGGCTGACTTAGCAGGTATAATTTTAGGATGAAAATAAAATTGAGGCCCCAATAATTTAAAAAACAAGCCCAAAATTTGCGTAAATTAGAGGCGTACGCCTCGTCTCCGACTTGCGCACCAGGCCGATTCAACGCCTCAGCAAATCTAAGGCGTAGGCCTTGTTAGCAGAAGATAAGGCTTAAGCCTCTCAGGCGAATAACAAGCGCCTTAACGCCTTTGCGCCTCAATGGCTAAACGCCTTTTAAAACCTTGGTTTATAGAAAACCAAGATCTGCAATTCCGGAATCTCCAATTCTGAATATAGGCTGCAATTAGAGGAGCTAAACTGAATATAAAAAATATAATAAAACTAAAAAATTATGAAATTTACCTTCAATTCGAGAGAGGAGGCTGTCGGGTGTCGAGTAGCGGCTAGCCGGCTAGAGAAATAGAATGGAGGCAGAGACGTAGAGTAGCATTGTACGCCTGTAGCGATTGTCCGATTAAATTTCTGATGAGCGCATGAAGTTTCAGGCCTGCTGTCCTTTGCTTTGGAGTATTGGGTATATGGGTTTTTGGACTTGGAAGAAGGATTTCCGGACGGTCGAATTGCACACTATAAAATGGAATAGGTTATGATATGGTATGATACACAAAATAAATTTTAGATACACCAAGTATATTATATAACACAAAGTTCCAATACAAAATGGAAGGCAGGGGTTAATAACTGCATAAACTATAGTTTGGTGCACTTATTTCAGAATCTAAATCAAACTTAAAACATACGGAGTATAAAATTAAGCAATTTACATGACTATATCCAGGTTTTTGGGGAGTAACATGAAAACCAAAACTGAAAATTGATTTCATGATGCCACAAAGTTAGAGAACAAAAAGGAAATAAAAGTGAATCGCTGGAAATAGTTCATACACCCACTCAAATCACACATGCTCCGGACTAATCAACCACAACTCACATAAAATCAAACCATAAATCTAAACTTTTCAGCATTCAAAAAGATTTTTGGATACAGAAATCTATTCATTCCAAACAATTTTAAACAGGTCATTTCAATTAGCTTTAGCTCCCAGAAATTAAGAACATAGCACACAAAATTTTAGTTTCAGCAAATGCAAAAAAAAATCCATAACAGAGATGACCTTCATACTGAATTACTGAAAGTGTAAATCAATTTCAATTTCAATTTTAAAATCAGAATTGATCATTAAAATAAATTTCATGACATTCAAAACTCAATAGAATTTGTAAGGGAAGTTAACAACAGACATTATACACATCAGTGCGTAAATTCAGAAGCTAAATCAAACTCAGAATATATTAAATTCATAAGAGAAGTGAAAAAACGATAAAAGCAAAGGGATATGAACCTGGTGATAAACTGGTCAGGGTGGAGACGGATTTGAGAACCGTCCAGTCCAAGAAGAGCCGGAGAATCTGCGAACCCAAGCCTGTGAATCCAAAAACGAACGGCGCGAATCCGGATTCTAACGGCAGAGATGCTTAAAAAAATGAAGAAGTCCAATGCTAAGGCATGCCGAAGATAGCGCAGAGATGAAGTCGCAGGGGTGGTCGGTCGGCGTGCGTAGAGAGAGTTCTAAAGAAAGGGTTTTTAGCAAACGTGCGGCCATCCAAACAGGCAGCGGGAGTTTTTTTAGGGAGTTGCTTCGGGCCTTCAAAATTGCTTCATCTAACCCTCATAGTATTCATATGCCCTTTTTAATTCTTTATACTCCGTACTAATTACTACTCCTTCCGTCCCTTAATATTTTGTCAAGGTTTGACTGATAAAAAAACTGTGTTATTGAGCTTTGTGCAAAGAAGAGAGAATTAACTGCAACCACAAATTCTTTACTTAAAAGGGAAAGTGGCAAAGTTAGTAATAGGGGCAATGGCAGATCTTGTACATAACTTTTGAAGGTTCAAATTTATTTTATAAGTTTTGAGTGTTCAAATACATATATACGGAGTAAAATTTTACACTAGCACCCATATATATGTATTTTCACATTACTAGTTAAAAATGTTAGGTGGTGGGGCAAGAGTAGGGATGGATAGTTGGGTGTGAATTAGAGTTAAAGGAAAATTATACGAAGTATTAGTTAAACAAAGATTAGTTACATTTTTTAAAGTGAAAACTAGTTATATCTTTATTTTCCAAAAGTGTCAAAGTAACATTTTTGTCATTTTTCTATACTTTTAGAGCCTGTTTGGTTGATTCTGCTGATTTATGAAAAAAAAATTAAAATATTTGTTATTATTAAATAAAATAAAAAATATGAAAAAATAGTTAAAATGATCATGTACAATAACTTCAGCCGATACAGTCAGAAAAGTAACAACAATCTTACTTTTTTTATTACACAATACAACGCGTGAAATCAAAAGTTATGTGTTTGGAAAAAAACTGGCTGATAAGTCTGATAAGCCGAAAAAAGTGTCACTAAACGAGCTCTTAGTGTATTATTTCTTTTTGTAAGTCATACACAAGCCATAAATATATTTAAAACATGATTAAAAACATGCTAAAAAACATGATCAAAATATATTTTTGGCAGTATGTTTTTTTAACGGATTTTTGGCAACATGATAAAAACAAAGTATTCAAATTTGTTTAAATCTAGAGTATAAAATAAGCCATACGAAGTACCAATTTGGCCGGAAAAGAATCATAAATTAGAATGGATCAACTCAAAAGAGAAATAAGCTTGGCATCGTGGGGGTAGAAAAAAGTGTTTGAACTGAATGACCCATGAAGTATGAACTTGGCGTCCATGCTTAGAAGTGATGCAACAAAAAATTTAAACAAGTATAAAATTGTCAGGTTGTGGTGATAATTGGGTGTGCCAAGTACTAAATGGGGTGCGTGCAGCACGACCTTTTTGGTCACAACTGCGGTACCTTCTTTAAATTTGAAGATTTGGTACCTGATACAAATGTTCCAGTAAATATCTGCCATGTGTTTTAAATTACACCTACAATATATTATTCCTAAATATTTGAAAATTTGTTTGAATTCATTATAGGTTATTCTTTGTTACATTCTTTGTCACTCTCTCCTCTTGTCTTATTTCACACACCATTCTCGTCTTTTCTCTTCATCGTATGTGGATATCTCTTTTTTGTGACCCGGCTAATGTGATTAGCACTCCGGATAATAAAGGATGGGTTACATGAGGATTTTGGCTTACAGGAGGAAATACTATTGTTGATCGTGCCGATAGAGGAGATCTGGAGTTCAATGGCTTAGCGTGTACTCCTTGCCCTGCTTATTGATGGTCAAGTTGAAACTTGATGTCAAATATTTTATTTCCCCTTTATACAAACGGTCTATAGGTCCTAATTATGAGTTGTCTGAATTGTATTAATGTTGATTTGTATCGGGGAAAGGACACTAATATTAGTATTAAAAGGCCAAATTCCATAAAAGTGAGTCCAATTACAAAAAGTCAAAAAAGTGATCTCAGGGTACGCGTTTTTTTTCTACGCAAACTCATTGCACGATAACACCCACTCCTTCCGAATTGACTTAGCAGGTACACGTGGATAACTACGTTACCACTTACGTAGTAGAATACACTGTATTAGACTTTTTTTTAATTTAATAATATCTCAAATTTCAATGCAATTCATAACCCACGATAAAAAAAAAGCAATTCATAACCTGCAACCATTCACTGTAATAAGTCTATAAAATTTAATGTTTTTTTATTTTAATTTTATTTCGGAACATAGAAATTTGGAATTGTGTAACAAGTAACAACTATACGAGTCACCACCGCTGCAGTTACAACTATCGTTCCAGATCACTATCCCAGTTACAATTGTTCTAGTGACGTCATCTCAGTTACTATCACTCCAGATCAATATCCCAGTTACAATCGTTCTAGTGACACCGTCTCAGTTACTATCGTTTAGTGACACCGTCTCAGTTACTACCATTCAGTGATTGCCGTCTCAGTTACTACCATTTCAGTGACCACCGTCTCAATTACTACCATTCCGATGACCAACGTCCAAATTACTTACCGCTAATTAGTTACAGTGACAACCATTAGTGACATAATTTTTAACTGTCTCGCCGCCCGATCCCAGCCCATCACCGCCACTGATCGATTACACTATGACCGTCTTAGTGGCCTTCCAGGCGACTACTCAAACGACACCGCGATGATACCCCTCCTCCACCCCAAGCATGTGCACCTAAGATTGACATTTAGACATCTCCCTGCCACAGGCCAACCTGCCGCCTCCGCCATCACAAAATCTCTGGCCGCCGCCATCTAGCTCACCCGCCTACCACTGCCATCGCGAGCTCCTGGCCCACCCTCCCCAGCCCCCAAGCCCGGCCCTATGAAGCACGGATACTTCCCTAGGGTAGCGTATCGGCGTATCCGATACGTTCCCGTATCCGATACTCTAGGATACTCGTACCGTACGTTCCCGGGCCGTATCTGCAATTTTTAAAAGTTTCCACTTTTTTTGTAATTTTTTGAAAGTTTCCGATACTCGTATCCTGAAGGATACCCGTATCAACTTTTTTTTTTTTTTAAAAATCCCAAAATTTACTTAATAAAATTCTAAAAAAATGAAAATCTAAAACTACATTTTACTTGTTAATCAAATAATGAGCCTATATGGCTATATCCGAATTAAGTCATTAACTCATACTCCGAATTGGGTACTTGCACTTTTAATTTCAAGATTGTAGTTGTTTGACTTATTTCTCATTTTAAATTAATGACTTATTGACTACATTTATATTTCGAGATACACTAGTGTATATGAGAAATATTATGAATTTATTACTAAGTATCTTGAAAAAGGAAAATGTTTCAATGCAATGAATGGATAGACATCATAGCATATTATATGTATGTATATATATATATATATTAAAAAAAATCTATTTTTAATATTTATAAATATACCCCTATAACTTTTAATATTTGTAAATACACCCCCATAACTTTTAATATTTATAAATATGGCCCCGTATCCGTATCCTACTTTTTTTGGTTTTGACGTATCCTCGTACCCGTTTCCGCGTACCGGTATCGGTGCTACATAGGCCCGGCCCCATCCCCAAACCCCTCCCCCCAGTCCCGTCCCAACGTTCCCCTGCCCCAACCCTTGTCCCAAATCCCGGCCAAAGTCATCGCAATACCCCCTCCCAACCTCAAAACTAGCTGCCTCAATCTAGATCTAGATCACCCAGCCGCACTGCGTAGGGAGAAGACGGGAGCGCGGACGGCAAAGACTAGGGAGAGGGCGCCGGCGATCCGTCTGCTCTGTCCGTGGACGCGACAGCGACGGCCTGGGGAGTGGTCTCCTCTGCTCCTACGACGGCCTTTGGAGATGTCTACTCATGCGACAGGCTGTGGAGCTCCTTGGTTGATGAATGATGATGTTGGCTTGGCTTCAGAGACGAAAACAAAATAATGGGCTGGGATGAAAGTAACGGGCCGGAAAGTATCAAGCTAATAAAAGGATAAATGTCCGCCCCTCACTTTGTCTTTTAGGATTTTTAAAATGAGAGAGGCGCGTCAACCAATATATCCTACGTACTCATCCAACTAAAAGCTCGATTACTTAAATATTCTAATTGAAGTCTTCTTCCCTAGCGCTTCTAGGGTTTTTGCCGGTTGATCTTTTGCCGTTGATTTCTCGTGTTTGTGACGTCGATTCTGCCGCTTTTCATCGTGATGGAGTCTATGGAAGAGTTGTATGCCAGACTTACACTAGCAGACGATGAGATCCAAGGGGTGGATGTGGGTGAAAACTTTATGGAGGAAGGTCAGAGTATGCAACAGTTTTCTGCGGTTGGAAAACTTATCACGGATAAACCCATCCGGTTTTCCTCTTTCCGGGATACTATGGCGGACGTTTGGAGACCAGGGCGGGGTGTGAACATAAAGGAAATAGGGGATCATCGGTACCTATTTCAGTTCTTCCATGAAGTGGACTTTGATAGGATTATGCAGGAAGGGCCATGGTCGTTTGAAAACAACTTGCTGGTGCTACGAAGACTGGAAGTGGCAGATAATCCTAGAGCTGTGTCGTTAGTCGAGGAAGCTTTCTGGCTGCAGGTGTATGAGGTACCTTCGTTCCTGTTCACAGAGAGGATAGCAAAGATTATTGGCAACCACGTTGGTACTTTTATGCATGCTGATCAAAATAATTATAAGGGAGGGTGGAAGGAGTATATGCGCATTCGGGTTCTTATAAATGTTACTTTGCCTCTCAAACGGTGTATGACCCTTACGAGAGGGTCGGAAAGTTTTGTTGTGTACTTCAAATATGAACGCTTGCCCCACTTTTGCTTTATTTGTGGGATTATGGGTCATGTTGATCGATGGTGTCCTACAAAATTTCAGAATTGTAAGGATGGGAAAGAAAAGGTTTTTGGTGCATGGTTACGGGCTGGAAATCGCAGGAGTTCTGGCAGCAAAGGGAGCAGGTGGTTGGTAGATGGGGAGGGTAATTTTTTGGCTGATCCTAGTCATGGGAGAGCTGGGGCTGACGTACGAAAAGAGCGGGGCTTCTCTGCTTGTCCGAGTGGTTCACAGGAATATGGGGAGCCTTCTTCGAAGGCATGCTCCAGTGGGGGGGAGGGGAGACTGGCTGTTTGGAAGGAAGGTGGCTCTGGGGGCTCTGGCAGTGGGCAGAAGAAAAGAAAGGTTGCTGAATTTTCTAATG